ATGACTTACTTACGCCCGTTACCTCCCCCCAAACCAATGGATCATAGGCCGCCTACAAGCATTCTCCAACCCAATCTGTCCCCAGCCTTCCTTTCCAGTTCTATCTAATTTTCGTTCATTTTTTTCATGTCTGTCTCCATTTCTTAGTGTAATGTGTTCTTCAGTCTTCCGCTTTTCCTTTGACCTTGAGGATCCATGTGAAGGCTTGCCTGGAGCCCCTCTGGGACTACTGTCTGTCCAAAGCCCGGATAAAGGAGAACGTTGGGCATTGGGTTAGCGACTTCATCCCGTATAAAATTAACTCGCAAAAAAATGCTAACCAGAAAAAAATTATTCAAACCACTTTAACCACGAACCTAACCTTAAATTCTAACAGTTGAGAACCGATAGCAAGTTTGAACCAATCGCTAATAACATAAAATTAATCTATTCTTTCATTTACAAATATAGACTATCAGAAGGGGTTTTGTGGAGATTTTAGTAATTCCAACAGTTGAAATCCTTAGTCAATAGGAGCTAGACCACCATGGTAAACCTGAAAGCTCTGGACGGCCGTTTCGTCCTGACTTCGAATCTCTCGGGGTGCGGGATCGTTGATGCACACTGCTGAGGAGTCCCATACTGGAACAAAACGGCTGTTCAATGCATCCAGGTTTTCCGTGGTGGTCTAGCTTCGATTGACTCATGATTACAAACTTATTATTTATCTTTTAATATTGTCATAAGTAAATAAATGAATGTTTTATATCTTACAACAGCTTCATGTTCTATAATCTAATCTAAGAATAAATGACCTTTGAATAGATGAAGAATTTTGCTTATCAATAAGTAAATATTACCGAAAACACTTACTGGAATTTTCCCATTGGACTTTTGGTGTTTTTCTTTTTAAAAGAGAAAAATTTAATTTCTGAGTTGAAAATTCTGATAATTAGTAACTTGTATTAGAAACAAGAAGTTAGCGTATTTCACAATACAATGTTATATTTCTTAAATGTGGAGGATATGTTAAATGATAATTGTACCTGATTAAAAATTTTGTTACTATTTGATCAAATATCTAATCAATAATTGTGTAAATAACACCGCCTGTAACTGTTCGAGTGTTACTACCAGTCTTAAGCCCGCGTAAAGGAGGAGGGTTGGGCATAGGGTTAGCAACTTCATCCCATAGAAAACAATATATTCAATAATATTTAGGAGGAAGAACAAGTGCCACAGATAGACTGAAAAGAAGGACACCATATGAAGATATCAAAGAAAGGAAATCTGAGAAAGTGTGAAAACTATAGAGGCATCACACTAATGTTAGTATCATGAAAATTTTCAACAGAGTGTTGTTGAACCGCACAAAAGACTCAGTAGACATCCAACTTCGAGTTCAAAAGGCTGAATTCCGAAAGGATCGATTGTGCACAGACCAAATCGCAACACTACGGATCATCATTGAACAATCAATTGAATGGACCTCGTCACTATACATCAACTTCCTTGACTATGAGAAGGTATATGAAAGATTGGATAGGTATACCTTGTGAAACATTCTTCAACACTATGGTGTACCTGAGACCTTCAATATCATTTGGAATTCATACGACAGACTACACTGCGAAGTCGTGCGTGGAAAACAGCTGACAGACGTATTACAAGTGAGGACCGGAGTCAGAAAAGGCTGTCTACTCTCGCTTTCTCTTCCATGTGCTGGTCAATTGCATTATGAAGACCTCGATATCTGGGGGGAAACACGGAATACAATGAACAAGTGCTTGCAATTAAACGATCAAAATTCTTCGACAATTAATTATTTCTAGGAATTACCATCGATTTTGAGAAATCTAAAAAACGAACACATTACGGTGAATGAATCCGATACAGGATTGAAATGATTCATAGTTGTTTAGCATTTCTTCATTTCAATAATAAAACATTATGATTTTGATAGATTACTGAAGAAATGAGTAAATAATTCCCTTTGTGAATGAATTTTTTGAATAAACTGTTTCCAAATGAAGTGCACGTTCTGCCATCTTCCACAGAAAACACTTTTGTGAAATATGTATGCCTATCTCTACCTCTTTACATCCCACAGAAATGAATGAGTTTTTGTCTCGTATTGATTGTTGGTCTGTTGTTAATAGTCTTATACTTAATCCGTCTAAATGTCAAGCTGTTAACTTCAGCATGAGACATGAACGGCATGTAAACACCATTTTGAGATCCCATAATGCCTGTGTCATTGGAGACTCGTTGATAAACACAGTGTCAAAGGTCAATTATCTTGGTGTCACCTTTTCCTCTGATCTCTCTTGGTCTTCTCACGTTTTATTGTTATCGAAGAAGGTTTTTCGTCTGACTTACTACATAAAGAGATTGTATGCTCTTGGGATTACTCGTCATTTACTCTTACAATTTGTCAATTCTTGCATATTACCTATTATTCTTTACTGTTCTCCATTATTCTTTACCGGGATTTAGAGAAAAAACTTTGCTGTATTGCGGAGAGTGCTGAAGGCAGTTAGTAAGGTGTGTGGTGAATCTTTCGAGATAATAATTAATATGGTTGTGGATAGACATCTAAAGTCATGCAAACTCCTGGCAGGTGTTAATTTTTCAAATGCTAACCATCTCCTTCACTCATATCTTTCTCCTTGTATATCTTCTGGTAGAACGAGACGTAATTACACTAAAATCCATGCACGTAAGAAAAAGTATAAAAGTCCTATAATACCTTACCTAGCAAATATACTCTGTGACGAATAGATTGTTAGAGTTAACCTAGTCAATAACCTGCATTCTTAACATGTCTCTAATTTGAAAAGTTATACAGCTTCTCAGATTTTTTTAAAAACCTTCTTTTTTCCTCATTTGTCTTTGTTTCTGTTCTTTTTTGTGTAAGTAACTTGTTGAAATACCCTGTGCTGAGAATTTCTATATTGTACCAAAATATAATATAAAGCGAATAATAATAATAATAATCTGAACTTCTCAGATCACCTACCACTTTTATCCCACACACACCAACAAATTCAAGTGAAGACAGCCAGTGTAACAGACGCCTCTACATCAGTAGGCTTCAACACACACAAAGGAAAAAGCGATATCATGAAATATAAGACAATGAACACCAACCCAGTCACATTTGATGGGAAAGATCTGTAAGAGATAGAAAGCTTTACTTACCTGGGCATTAGTAATATCGATGAACATGGAGGATCCAATGCAGACGTAAAGACGAGGATTGGCAAATTGACGGCAGCACTTTTAAAATTGGAGAACCTATGCAACTCTAAACAACTGTCTGAAAACCAACATCTAGTCAGAATCTTCAATACGAATGTCAACACAGTTCTACTACATGCAGGTCAACTTTGGAGA